TTGCGAATTTGATCCTATTTCAAATTAAATTAACAGTTCTGGTCTTTCCCTTTTCATTATGTTTCCCTAATTCCCATCCACCAGTAACACCCATCATGTGCAAATCACATGAGGATGTTTATGTTATTTCCCCTTATTTTTTTATAAAACATTTAATTCTTCAATTTTCTGTAACAATGATAGTTTCATTTTATTTACTTCTTTTTATAGTTTATTTTAGCATATTTCATTCATAGAGCTAATTTTCATGTATATTTTTCTTTTTGTTATTTTATGACTATTTCGGGTACTTTCTAGTTCTGTGAGCGTAATTATAGATTTTAAAGAGACTAGCGGAGCATGATCTTTAGGAAGCATGTGGACTTGGAAGACAACAAGGATTATGGCTTGATAATTAATGGAGATGATGCATGGAGTAAGCTTGTTCATTATTTGAAGGCTTGGCGCAGATGAGCTTTAATTTGCAAGAAAATGGAAGAATATTTATAAATGCGAGGATTATTGATCGGGCGGGTACATGAGATGTTAGTGATTTGAAGAAGCCAAATTGGGCTTAAAATGAAGAAAATTTGAAGAAAAATGGGCTAGGAGCTGATTAGACTCAAAACTGGGCTAATGGACTAAGTTGTGGAGGCCAAAACTCAAACAAGCCCACATCAGGCACCACTCGTGCAAGCCACCCGCACACAGCTGTGCGGCCGCACCCAAACGTGCGGGTGCACTTTCGAAATTTCATAATGAGAGCTATTTGAGGAAGGTTGGTGTGCATCTTTTGCACACTTCTATACATCCGAAATTTGAAGGTTTCTCTAGAGATTTTGGAGCATATTGAAGGTCAAGAACACATCGAAAACATCATCTTTTTGCTCTTGATTCTTGCTAGACGTTTAGTATAATCTACTCTTACTTTGTTTTCTTGAGTTTAGCAATGTTAAGCTAAACTAATATTGGTTGACATTTGTGAAATCACTTGAATTGATTGGTGAGGAACTCCATGAACTTGTTCTTGAATCTTTATGAAAATACTTTATGTTTTAATATTTTCTTGCTACTTGTATATTTTTTTATTAATGAGTTTAAATATATTTGTAGTCATTTGTTAGTTAATTTCTTGATTAAGTAATGGATCTTCAAATTAGCAAGCAGTAACTAATTCTTGTGTTAGTTATCACTTCACACAATCAAAAATACATTTTCTCCAACATGATAGTTAAAGTATTTGATTCCTTTTGGATTTGGTGACTTTTTGGTTCATAATGCTAGTTAATTTTCACTAGTTACATGTTTAATGGAAATTGTGACTTTAACTAATGAAATATGTTATGAGCTTTTCTAGCTATTTTATTAACTAAGAAAAATCTAGGTAATCTCAAGCTTCTTGGATTACTATAGCCAAATTAAATATTTAAAACAAGTATTGCACTATTGGATTCTAATGACATTTTCATCAAATGTTCAAGTGGAAAAACCTTAAGTCAACCATCTCTCTCTTCTTGATTTTACATCAAATTCTTGCTTTTGTTTACTTGTGTTCTTTAAATCTAAGTTTAGTTCTAGTTTTCTTTCAAATATTTCAAAAGACTAAAACCTCCATTTTACTTTTATTGTCATGTTACAAGTATTTTTACAAAGAGATTTACATTGCGTAACAAATAGAACCAATCTTCGTGGATTCGACCGCTTTACTACTATATATTATTTTAGTGTACAAGATTTAGGGTTATTTATTTTTGTTGGCCTCGACAACCACCAAACAACAATTTTGTCCTCGGCCAATACTTGTCCATGGTTGACCGACCAACTCAGTTGGTCGTCGACCCCCGACTTTTGTTAGGTTTAACTAGTGGAGAAAAAGTGGTTACCTTCTTTGAAGCAGAGTAGCTCTAGGTCCAACTAATAATAGATACTTGTATTCAGTGTGTATATATATATATATATATATATATATATATATATATATATATTAACTTTTGCATGTTTTACATTTACGTATTGTTATATTATAATTATTGTTGAAGATAAACAACAATATTGTGTTCTATAATTACTCTTTACTCTTACTCTCATTAATAAAAATGTGTGTTCATTGTTATGGACTTTGTTTGGGGTGTTCAAAAACTTGTGGACCCGGAAACAAAAATACACAATTTCTCATGATGGCACATCATTAGTTGAATCAGAGCCTTTTGTCGAATTCGTTCCACCGAGCAATATTTCTTGACAAGCCCATATTCCGATCATGTTGGATTATCATGAAAGTGTTTCCTCTTCCCATTTATGCATGCTAAAAACATACCTTCTTAAAGCAAAATTACTGCCTTATAATCTTTTCTCCTAAGGCAAAACATCTAATATAATTCAAGGTCTATTTTTACACATTAAAATGTCTCAATGAGTTCTCACCTTAGAGATTACTCTAATTGCCTATGGTTTTAAAACGCTGTTATTAACAAAAAGCTTACATTATCATACATAAGAGTGTGAAGTCGTTCCTAGATATACAACCGATTCAAGATGTTTTTGCCTTAATATAATTGTTCAAGCTTCTCCTAAACTAGTGTGTAGTTCATATGCCATGCACATTTGCAACAACATTCTTTGCAAGACAAACAAATTGCAATTGGTTTTTGTCAATTTCAGGTTTTGACAAAAAAAAAGGTTTTTGGTGGTTGTGGCATACATTGGTGTTAGTAGTGAAAAACGATGGCCGTGGTGGTATAAAGTGGTGTTGGTTGTATATTCTAATTTACTCTTAAAGGGTTGTTTGTTTTATCTTTTAAAACATTTTTTGGCTTTTAGGAAAACATAAAAAACTAAAAGATGTTTGGTAAAAACATAAAAGTTACTTTTTAATATAAACAAAATAAACTTTTTGAAAAAATCAGATAAACCTAACTTTTTGCAACTTTTTAGGCATAAAAGCTATTTTTTGATATAAAGAAAATAAATTTTTTGGAAAAGTCAGGTAAACATAACTTTTTGCAACTTTTCCTAAAAAGATTTTTACCCTCTCAAAAGCTAAACCAATAACCCCCTAAGTGGGTCTTTGGAATAGCTTTTGAAAATAGTTTTTTAGCTTTTCAAAAAATTAATAAGCTAAAAAAGTATTTGTGTATTTAAAAAACACTTTTTAAAACAGCTTTTTGGATAGAAAAAAGTAAATCCTTTAGTAAAACTTTCAAAAAGCTGAAAAAATCCTTGATTTTATTTTTTAACAATTTTACTCCTAAAAAACAGTTTTTCCTATCCAAACATTTTTTAAAATCCGTTTTTCCTAAAGTCATAAGTTAATAACCATTTTTCTTAAAAATCACTTTTGTGATAAAAAAAATCTAACCTAAACACACCCTAATAATCTAAACAACAAAAAATAAAAGCAAAAAAACAAAACATGAACATTTAAGTGGTTTCATATGCACTTAGCAGAAAAATGGCAACAGGGGCCAAAAGTGCAATATTTGCCAACCATAGTGACCATCCATGTCAAATTTTCAAAACTAGTACCAAAAGTGCATAACTGTGCCAACCACCTGAACCAAATGTGTAATTTCCTCTCAAATTTATCGTCGCACTTACATCTTATTAAATTATAGCTCCATCATTTATATGAGAATTTATAAAAAGATAAAGAGTTACAAACTATAAAATGTCAAAAGAAGCAACGCACACTTCAAACGATAATTACGTCTTCCAAGAGTTTTGACCATAGTACTATAAGGATTTTTGAATGATAAGTTAATAAAAAAAAAAAAAAAAAAAAAAAAAATTAAAGAAGCGCATTGGCAAAACTTGAGCATGTGACAAAGAAGTGAATAGCATGCAATTCGAAATGAAACAATATACTCCACGTTTAGGACAAATATCTAAACTACATAATAATACTTCAATCGCCTTCTTTCAAACTTAATGCAAAAGCATTTACAAGTGAAAAAAAATAATACTCGAGAGGAATTAAAAAAAAAAAAAAAAAAAAAAAAATTCAAACAGTAGTCAATAATAAGGAATTGTATATAGTTTGGTGTGTTACAACCCCTCACGTGTAACAGTAGTAGTGACACGTAGGACGGCTTGTGCACTTAACTTTGGAAGATTAGATTCACAGAATTCGTCCCAAGAATAATAATGTACCTGAGGAGGAGGTTGAGCTTGTTGGACACATGATGATGATGACGTGTCCTCTTCTGATTGGTCAGAAGGTGGAAGTACTGGTATGTCAATGTCTTGTTGTGGAGCCAAAACAGGGGATTTAACGTATGCAGTTTGTAGGTCCAATAGGAGGGCTCGGGCAGCCTCCCGTGATTCGGGCAGCTGGTCGCTTAGTTGAGATGAAGCGATTTGGATCAATTTGTCAATTCCATATTCTTTGATTCCATCAGCCCCCTTCATAACAAATAAAATAGTCAAAAATTACTTACTATTATAAAGAAAAAACATTATAAAAAAAAAAAAAAAAAAGTGGTACTAAGAACGAATACTTACAAGTTGTGGGACACTACGAGAAACACACAATGAAGCCTTTGCACGAATACGAGGATTTCGGTGTTTAAGATAAGGTTGCAATTTAGGTAACAACAAAACAGGGGAAACTGAAATTGTTAAAGTTATTAAAGCCTTTTCAGCAGCTTCACATACAAATCTCTTGTCTTGAGAAGATTTCAGAAGAAGTTGCACAAGCTATAAAAGTAAACAGAATCCACCAAATTAGAACCCAAAAAAAAAAAAAAAAAAAAAAAAAAAATGAATTTCAAAGAGTAAACATAACCTTATTATACAAATAATAGATCAAATGCATGTTGAAAACAAACAATTACCATAGGATCCAAAGAATCGACTACAAGGTCCCCAAATGCTTTGAAAATGTCAGCAGATGTCATGATTGCAGTTTTGCAAACAGCACTTCTTGGATTCTTCAAGGCTTTCACAACAAGGGTAATCACATTGTCCCTGTTAATTGAGGAGGCAATGGTCAAGAGAAGGGTAGAATCGTCAATTTCTATTGGTATGTAATGGAAAAGAGAAAGGCTTACAGTATGTCATGCAAGGCTTCCTTGTGGTATATTGAAAAACGACGTACGTTGTTGAGTGTTTCACAAAGGGAAACCCACTCTTTAGACTCTAATCCAGATAGAAGCACCTTTTAGAGGAAACAAGAATGTGAAAAATAAGCAAAAATAACATCATAGTTTCACACAGATATTGTATTAGGTAATAACATACTTTGAGACTATTTTCAACATCTTCAAGATCTTCAAGTTTCTCAGATTCAATGTATTCAACTTCTGCAACTGCCACGTCAGCGCTAGCATGTGCATCTTCGGTTCCTTTCACAGGTGGTTCAACTAAAGGAACAATGTTTTTTCTTGGTTCAACATATGGCTTTGTTAAGATGTCTTTACTTGAGCTCTCGTTTGTTCTCTCAGATTTAGGCAGCAAATTAAGATCTCTAAGAGCAGTTTCAGACATCATTGTACAGCTGTAACATAAATTGAGTCAGAGAGTTAAGGTTCAAACATCTGGAATATAACTATTATTGGAGATGAGTTTTGAGATTTGGAGATTGATAGTTGGCGATGTTAGTGATCAGGGATGAACATTCAGTGCATATGAAATGATCTTTTACTACCAAAGTCATAAAGATCAGTATCAAGAATCATAGTTTGTTGTCACATGACACAAGCTTGCAACTTACATCACAGATCATCATGAACATCACCCACACATAGACAATGTCGAGAATTCATAGCATAAAAAGATTCACAGATTATAGATCAACCAAAACAAAGTATACACATCTACCAGAACAGAATCTAAGAGTCAGATCCTTGTGGGAGCGAACTACACTAAAACAAATGGTAACTAAATGAAACATCAGCTAATAAACTCATGATTTCAATGCTTAAGAAAAGATGTTTCATTGTAAGCACAAATCTACGCATAGTATGCCATATAACACACGAATCTGCAGAGAAAACTGTAGAACACTCCTAGCACAGTCTGAAAACCAGAAGACTCAACATAAGAATTGTGCAAGTTGGATTTACACGATGCGCCACGAACAAACCCTATAATGTTCAACGGATTTGTAAACGGCATCTTCGAATTCAAAATCATTTGGAGAAATAAACAATGCTACAACAAGCAAAAAGAAGAAGAAGAGAGCAAGATACCTCGGATTTGCTCTATGCTTTGACCAGGAAGTTGTGATTCAGACCGACAGATCCAACAATAGAACCCCTATCTGCATTTGGCAAGTAGTTCAGACGACGACAAATACAGATTTGAAATCGCAATCAATTATTAAGCGAATATAATGCATTAAAGCGAATATAAACAGTGCACAAACAGTAAAAATGGTGATAACTGAATCGATAAAAAAAATAACAAATAACCTTAATAGGAGAAAAACAAAACGGAAGCAAAACGATCAGATTGAAGCAATGAGTGCACGTAGAAATGTGAATTTTTAGGGTTTTAGAAGCGAGGTTGTCGCCGGCGTCGGGAAAACGACGGCAGATGATGTTATTACCGACGTACGGCCGGCAAACACGGGAAAATTAAACAAGTCACCGCCGAGGAGAATGGAGATGTAGGGATAAATGGGGTGGTGGAAAATTCAGAATGGCCCTTGATTTATGGTATGAAGTGACGTTTCAACCCCAAAGTTAAAAGCGATGGGTTATCACTTATCATTAGTTGGTGATTAATTATTTAATTAGGGATGGGATGTACTTATTTGTATCAAAATTAAAAAAGAAGTGGGGGAAGATTTTGAATTTAAAAAAAAAAAAGTTTGGATTTGAAATAAGGAAAGTATCCGTGGACATTATCGCCAATTGGCATTAAGTTTCATAATTTGATTAGTCTCACTCTCCACAAAATCAAATAAATATTTTAGAGAAATAGTTGCGAGACTTCTATTATGTAAGGTTTAAATAAATTATTTAAATTTGAAAATTTAAAATTAAAAGGAAACATATTAAATACAATATTTTAGTAGTAATATTGTTTTATTAATTATTTTTAATTTAATTAAACCAATTATTAATTGATGTGTAAATGTCATATGTCAATTAAGAAAAAATAAAAAAAAATTAAAAAATGACAAATGGAAAAAGATTTATACAAAAATATTAAAAAATAACATGTGTCCAAATAAAAAAATAACATGTGGCAAAAAATTTTTGATTTATTAGAAATGATTGAAAAGTTATGCATTTAAATAACCATAAACTAGGTTTATATTACCGGTTTCAACCAATTTTATTTATTCGTGAACATATCTCGCAAATGAGGAACAAAAGGTCTATTTTTAAAGTTATTTTTATCGTTTTCATCTAGATTTTGTCCATATCCCATGACTAGCAAGTGACGATCATTCCATTTTTCTACACCAATAGGTCATCGATTGAATGAAGTACTCGAACTGCAAGTAACGAATCGAAGAAGTTTTAAGAATGTATGGATGAGTATGTTTTGTTCTTCTAGGTTATTTCTTTTATTATTGTGGTTTTACAAACCACATAAGTTTAAACTTGTAAAAACCACAATTGATAAAGTAAAATAACATAGATTTTATAAATAAAAACATAATTTTGTTTGCCCAATAAAATAAGATTTCATAAACATTAATAATTTTCAAAATAAATACGATAGAAATGATGAATAAATAATTACTTCAACTTATATTAATAAAAAAAAGTATTAACATATTTTAAAAAATTGTATTGAATCACAAATGTTCAAAGACTTTTTTTAATACAATATTAAGGGTATGTTTGAGTTAGTTTTTTTTTAAATGAAAAATGATTTTTAAGAAAAATGCTTATTAGCTTATGGCTTTTAGAAAAAGTTGGTTTTAAAAAGTGTTTGGATGTGAAAAACTGTTTTTTCAAGAGTAAAATGATTAAAAAACTAAAAAGCTATAATTTTTCAGTTTTTTGAAAGCTTTACTTTTTCTTATCCAAAAAGTTGTTTTAAAAAACGTTTTTTAAATAGACAAACACTTTTTTAGCTTATTAGCTTTTTAAAAAGCTAAAAAGCTAATAAGCTTTTTTTAAAAGCTACTCGAAACACCCACTAAATGTCATATTGCTAATTTTACATTGTTGTCTAAAATAAACGTTTTTAATCCATTTATGTGTTTAATTTTTACAAAGGGTAAAGGTGGAAGTAATACAAAATAAGCTTAATACTTGTTTGACTTAAAAAGTATTCCATAACAATTATTACCCAAAATCCATTTATTGTCATCAATTCATTAACAACGATGTCTTGTTTTCAAAGCTTCTAATATAATATGACACCCTCTTAATCTCTATCTCTATATATGTTAAAACATAAACTTTATTACATTACCTTCAACAATAAGGTCCCTTTTCTTAATAGTTTTCCACCATCGGATTAATTTGATGATGTTATCCTCACAAAAAAAAAAAAAAAAAAAAAATCAAATGCCTTTTCTTTTAAAAAAATGCATACGCATGCGAATCCGTAATGTCTCCACATTGCACCATGAAACCACCATCAAAACACATCTCTTATGTCTCTTTTCATACTTCGGAACAAGATTATAACTATCCTCCTTACGTCATCGATACAATCTTCCTAAAGGTTTTTAGCTTCAATAATAACATCCCTTCTATTTCACCGTTTTTTCTATCTTCTTTTTGACGACCCATTCAGATTTTCACATTGCAGGTTTTAGGGTGAGGGAACTGGTTTCTTAGCGAAGAAACCGAAGAAGATGTCTGATTGTTTTAGATGATTTTAAGGTGCTATGTACAACATTTTTACAGCTTTTTTTTTTTTCATATACGATTTGATTCTCAAATCAAATGTCGTCGATTTCATGACTTCATCCCAAATTTTAAACGAAAAATTCAAATATTTCTTTCCTTTCATAATGGTATTTAATTCTCTTGACAAAATTCAATTTTGAAATCCCTAATTATCACTCCCAAAATCTCGCCACTTTCTATATACCTAGGGTTATGATATTAATTCGAAGGAATGATTGAACATGCAAAGTGTTAGGTAATAAGCGTAAGAAGGATTGGTTGTTGGAGGTTTCTTATAAATGGTAATCATCCAAATATTTTTCCTTTTCATCTATATTATGTTGATATTGATTGATAGATTTTATGTTGATACTAAATGCTCTCCGATGGCCATGGAGGTTTCTAAGTATTTCGCCTATCATTATCAATGGAATTAATTGTCGTGGATTTGTTGGTTATTGACGTGATAGTGTTTTTTCCTTCCTAATATGCATAACGTTGCATATTTTGTTAGTGGAGGTAGGACTCTAGCTAGTTTTGTTTATTGAATGCCCAAGTGTTGATTTTAGTAAGAGGTAAAAAAACGTTGAAATCCCTATTATGGAAATTTTTTATATAATTTGTGTATCTTTGGTTGAATGGAATGGAAGGGAAATCATGGAAACGTTGTCACCACCGAGCAGCCACCACTACTGTTGCTAAACTCCATCGCACTTACTCAGTAGATCTTCAAGGTTTTGTTGTTTGTAAAAAAAAATCTCCATTTTCTGAAATCTTGTTACTTTTCGTTTCTCTTTTTTTTGGTGTTTTCGCAAAGTGGTTTCTGATTTGGTTTAAATCTTTGTCACATTTAGAAAATAAATATGAGTTTTCATATGGCAAGTTACAATACTAGGTTGCATATTGAATTGACCATGGGAGATGAAGATTCAAATTTTAGATATGTTAGTGGTGCTCAAGGAAATATTGATCTTCATTTACGAAAGGTAGAGTTTAAATTGGTTTTCTTATAGGATTAATATTAATATTTTTTTGTATTAACAGAATTTTGTAGATTGGTAAATCTAGGGATTGTAATGGAGAATGCAATTGAGCCCTTGATCCAACTAATTGAAAGTCATGTGTGTTTGGTTGATTCTTATGCGAATAGAGGGTACACATTATTTGTCTCCACATAACTCGTAACCTATTCATAGGGATTTTTTTTTGTTGTTTCTTTACCAACTTTGTCTATTGGGCTAAAGAGTTCACAATATTTGATGATGTATAGGTCTAAATACATAAAGGAATGTCATATGGAGTTCTAGGCAAGAATAAGAATGTAATGTAAGTTTACACATGTCCAATAAATGTGTAAAATCTCCATTTTTGTAGGTTTGATTTGTATTTTTAACGATTGATTTATGGTATTTTCATTGAAATATGTTTGTTAGGTTCAATTTAAATATAACTCTCCAGTTTTACCAAAGGGAAAAAATGATTTTTACCATCTTTATCGAATTATGGGTATTACAAATTTGTATTTGTAGAATTATTTTGTTGAGAATTGGTTCTTGAGTTTTTTTATCGACATGTAGTTATATTTGGTAATTTTTGGATGTCAATGGTAGATTTGTCCAAAATGAAAAATTAAAATTAAAAAAATTAAAAAAAAAATCCTAGTAAAAAGGATCCTAGTAACTTTGTGAATAATAACACTTTTACCACTAACTCTGTGAATGTTGATGCAGGAATGAACCCAATCATGGCCAAAGAATTTCAACAGCTATGACAGATGTTCTCAAGCGTACCTAGAGTAGTCCAGCCTATACCAGAAGTTTCCCCAACAAGCCATAGGATCTCAAGATTCGCTCCTGTGATTTTTGACACCGAAGTCCCAAAGCGCTTCCAAACTCCCAGCATGAAGCCTTATGATGGGACTACAAATTTTGAAGAACATGTGGTACCATACAGGGAAAGAATGGAGATCATCCTCATTCCCACACATTTGAAGGAAGCTTGCATATGCAAGGGTTTTGGTTCAACCCTCACACTATCAACCTTGAAATGGTTGCTAAATGTTCCTCCTTATTCTATTACTTTGTTGGCACATTTAGTTAATATTTTTAAGAACCAGTTTTCTTGTAGCGGAACATTCGAGAAGATCACTAGTGATCTCTATCGGGTGGTTTTGGATCCTAAGGAATCCCTTAGGGATTTCGTTAATAGGTTTGGTAGGGAAGCTCTGAGTATCCCCAACATCGATATGGAAACTACCATAGAAGCCTTCAAAATGGGCTTGAAGAAAGACTCCCATTTCTACGAAGACCTTGTAATGACTCCATGCAAAAGAATTGACGAAGTAAGGAGCAGAGACCTAAGGTTCATAAGGCTCGAAGAGACAAGGAGATCCAAAAGAGGAGCAACCCACCAAGCTCCTATGATAACCCCAATAGGAAGGCTGACTCCTCGACCCATAGATCATATAAGTCTAAACCTTATTCCAGACTCGATCATCATATGGTTAATACCCTCGAAGATGAAGGGGAAGAAGAAGAAT